AAGGCAAGTTGCAGCGACTTCTACATCTCAAATTGTATGCATGTAGGTGTACCCAAGTTGTATGCATGTATGTGTTTTCTTAAATTTGATTAAACTTATGAAGTTCTAGCAATGATTTGTTTTGCAAGAAAATTAGGAAAATGAGCAAAAAAATAAGAAGTTTCACCAAGAGGCAAGTTTATTAAAATATATTAAGTTTGATGTGGTAATAAATGTTTTAGATCATAAAAATATTTAATAAATCATACAATGTTATAAAATATTTCACTTTACCATTATAGCTCAAAAGACATTCAAAGTAATGTCAGACTAAATGTTATTTGAGAACCGAGTTTTAATAACATTTTTTCAACTTCCTTGAAAAATTTGATTTGCTAATTTCATGTTTTCTCAACGTTTCAAGCCATTCTGAATCGAATGAGACCAAATTTGGAAAAAGTATGTGTGCATGTGTGTGAATAGGTTTTTTGACGTAAAGTTAAAAACCGAAATTTCGCAAAATCGACTTAAAAAATTTAAAAGCCATTCGATGCCAGAAAAGTGAAAAAATTTTCGTCCACGTTTTAGCCTACAGTTTTGAATCGATCTTGAAAATTCAAAGACCGTTCGAAACATATTGATCGGGAATCGTGCTGTTGAGTTTTTGGTAGAGATCGGCCGGGCCGTTTTCTTGTAATAGTGTTCAAAAATTTTTTTTTTCAATGAATTTTCTTCAATGATTTTACCAAACCCATAATCGTATAGATCATACTCAAATATTACGGTCCTACGACAAATAGTTTAAATTTAAAAATTCGTTAAAGATTGCAATAATTAGTATCGTTTTTTGGTATTTGTCAAAATTAGATCTTTCATCGAAGTTTCCTCAAAAACACCGGAACCGATTTCAGAAATTTAAAGGCCATTTAAATTATCTCAATAAGGATTATCATTTGTCAGTTGTGTGCTACGATTCTTTGTGATTTGAAAAACATTTCTTTCGCATTCATCATGCTACCGAATCGACTTTTAAAAATCCAAAACTGTTTCAAAGATACTAGTTGGGAATGATACTGATTAGTTTTAGGTGAAAATTTACCGAGCCATTTTCTTGTAATTAACTGTTGAGAAAAAATTTAAGCCGATTTTTATGAAACTTTCTTTGGCGATTCATATCATGGTCTTATAGAACTTACTGAAATATTACGGCCTTACAACAAGTATGTAGTTTAATTTTAAAAATTCATCAAAGTTTGAGAAAATGAGTAGTGTTTTTAATGTTTGCTAAAATTAAAATTAGACGATTTACTTGGTCTAGCGATAGAGAACCTGGTCGTAATAAACATACTAAAGCATTAAAATCCTACGAAAACTGGTTTGATTATTAAAAAATACTGAATTTTGAAAATTCGTTTTCAGAAAATACTCCTACCTGGTTAACATGCTCGATTTTTAATAATGTGTAATAAATCCACTTCGAATACTTTGAACCACTCAAATTAATTTATTTATCATGGATTAAGTCGATTATTTACACATATCGGGTATTGAACGCTATTAAACTATTATTATTAAATCGTTATCACTGCTGCTTGACAACACCCTGCTCGAAGTGGGTATCGAACCCGGGACCTCTGATTCAAGTTCCGTCGCTCTTAACCGCTTATCTACGGGTGAGCCCCAATAACAAAATTATCAAAACAGTTTTATTAATAGAGTTCGTTTCTTGCAATTACTGATTAAAAATTTGTTAACTATGAACTAGTATATTATATAATATTGCATATCATTGATAAATATGAGTTCTGAATAACACAAAACGACTCAATCGAATGAATATTTTTGTTATGCATGGAGAAATATTTATTCACTTTACATTTCAATAATTTCATCTATCTGACCCAATAGAATATGCAAATTTCTGATCGATATGTTCACATCTAGCTGACAGTATCATCATAACTTCGGAGCGTTTGGGGACCACAAGTTTGCTCCATCACGCTCCCAACAGACACCGAAAACACGTCAGTCATGGATCATATCGTGGCATAAAATATAAATAGACGTTTCGTTTTCTTTTGTTGGTTTATTTGTTTATTCAATGCCAACATAAACTATATTTAAAATTTAAATTTGTTGCAGTATTATTGTAAAGATATTACGGTAATAAATTATCTAGGTGTAAGCGGCATTTTGATCTGAGGCTAGTTGTAAAAACACAAAATAAGGTTTCTTTATTTACTTAAAATTATCAACTGTTCATTTCGAAAATGAAGATTTTTCTTTTACTGAAAACCAATCAATGCAATTATAAATATGTTTCAAATAAATTTATATACATGCATATTCATTTTATGAGCACAATTATCCTTCCCACCAAAGTCTTACGAACAGTTTTTAAATTTTTAAAATAAATTCTGGATTTTATGCTAAAACATGGAAAAATTGACTCATACACACACATAAATTGGTCTAAAGTTTAGACTCTTAACGAATAAGAATGACTTGAATCGTTGAGAAAACGCAAAATTTGATTAGGTGTTGTTTAACATAATCCACTGTGTGAACGAATATTATAAAATTCATTATTCAGCAATTACTTCATTTCTTTAATGTTAATTACAATGACAAACTGATCATGTCATATTTGAAGTATGACTTTAATTACACTATTGTTTTTAAATATAATGCATATTTTTAATGCTATTATAAATATATAATGTATAATTTATCATTACATAAATGTGTATAATGGTTGACACTAATAAATGTGTGCATCACGAGTGTTACCATATTACTAATAAACATTATTCAAAATTGTTATATGATGTACTGTACTTTGTACAGTAGAAAATAAGTTTTACTTCAATCGCGTGTGAACCTTACGCGCACTCTTTTTTATTTCTAAAAATCATTGCTGTATTCCTATAAAAAAGCAGATATTTGTAAAACGTTTTGAATCCTAACATACATACTTAGGGGAGACCGGTTACTGATGTCACTTTTTTAGCAGTAATAATTTTGTCAATCAATCAATTATCTGGAAGAAAAGTAAATTAATAGGTAACTTGATCATTTGTCTACGTGGAATTTTTGAATGAATGTCCTTAAATACGCTGGATAAATCATATAATCTAATCATACAAGAAAAGAGCGTTTGTCACAACTGTCCACATCTCCAGGACGATCGCGATAGCCATGAACATGGGTTAAAAAACTATAGCTATATACACTAAAATATAATGCCTTAGTTTCATAAATTTGTAATACAACACAACATAATCATTTAAACAACTAATGAATATAAATATAATAATTTATAATAAAAAATATTTTTTTAACAAAATTTTAATATAAATCCTCGTGATTTTTTTTCTTATATTAAATTTTACTTTTTCTTTTATTTTGCATTTTGCTTTTTTGGTAGTTATGTTTTTCGCCCGAAAAAGATACGAAATACATGTCACAACGGTACCCACAAAATTCGTAAAAACCGTACCCAACACACACTTTTGAAAACAAATCATAGTGAAGACTAAGGTAAATTATCTAGACAAAAACTAATTGCTGGTAATTAATTACTAACGTTTAATTTACAGCAAAATAACAAACGCGCGTAAGGTTCACACGCAATTGAAGTAAAACTTATTTGCTACTGTACAAGATGTCATTTAAGTAAATACATCATATAACAATTTTGAATAATGTTTATTAGTAATATGGTAACACTCGTAATGCACATATTTATTAGTGTCAACCATTATATACATTTATATAATGATAAATTATAAATTATATATTTATGAAAATTATAAAGAAATGAAGTAATTACTGATTAATAACTTCTATAATATTCGTTCACACAGTGACTTATGTTAAGCAACGCCTAAACAAATATTGTTTTCGCAACTTCACTCATCATGTAATAATTATGTTTGAAAAACTTCATAAAATTAAAATTAACATACATTCATTGACTGATGGTATTTTTTTAATTTTTTGCTGGCGATATAATCTCATTCTTTAAACAGCTGTAATATCTGTTTTACCTAAAAAGTATTTTCCATTTCAATAACTTCAGAGATTTATAGAAACTACAAATAATATAGAAATTATTTCAATAAACTTATGTTTCATACAGGGCGCAAACTCTGCATTTGTTTTATTATTTTCATTACAATTATTACGGAGGGCAGGGCGAAATATTCCCCTGATTCAGGCATTTTTCATTTGTACTTCGATATATCTTTAAAATGATCATTTAATTATGCCGATTTCCTTGTTGATATCGGTGCACATACAACGTTGATTCCGGTACGCATACAACGACAGATCTCTGATTCACATACGCGACGACTAATCACAATCGACCCGTATAGAAATGTTATCATCAAGAGCGAATGGCGAATCATTGGCACTCGACTCTTATCTTATCTGCCGTAACGCACTTCCGTTGCATTTGTACGGAAATACATCCTAGTCGCGCCTAAAGAAGTTTTGCTTCAAAAAAAGTTAATTTTGACTCTTTAAAAGCAATGCGGTCTACAGATCATGTCAATTTAGGGTCTGACGCTATGCAATAATTTGAACTTGTTCGTGTAAAAACATGATCTCTGATACATGATCTTTCTATGTTTGGACCCTATCTCAAAATCAGTAATCTTTGGACCCTATCTCAAAATCAATATATTTTGTGAAATCTGTTGAATTCCAACCAGATTCAAAAATATTTTTTCAGATATTCCAGAATAATCAAAAAGATCAAAACCTAAATAATAACAAAATTTAAAAGAGTTGAATAGTTTTTAACCTTTAGTTCTTATTAACTTACCCTTTGACGACCTAATATTATCTAGTGTCTGTAAGTTCACAAAGCCATTGCCATGGCAAAGTTTAAATCTATTCTGCATTAACCTAAATCTACATAAGTCTGAATAAACCTAGATTCACCTTGGCACAGAGCATGTTGTTTTGCAATTAAATCTAAAAGCAATAAGTTAAAATTGTATTCCATAACTCACCACCACCAGATTCCACATTTTGGCGGCTTCCGCGACGGTCGTGCAAACAGTGCTGCAGCCGGCGAGCAGCATAAGTTTGTTGGGCTTGTTGTATAACAGATTATACATGACGCTTGCCCCCAGACCGGGTTCGCACTGAAAACAATACAGAAACCATATTATAGTGTGTTTAGTTCCAACCCGAAACATGAGATAACATATACACTAATCAGAATTGATTTATATCCCACAATTAGGCGAAACAAGTTTACTATTCTTCGCTATGAAGGACTGGATAAAGCGGAAAAGATAGATATATTTATGCCCTTAATTATATGAGTATGAATAAATTAATATATATATATATATATATATATATATATATATATATATATATACAGAGCCCGATTTAGAAATTTGGCGCCCCGGGGCATTGACAAAAATGCCGCCCCATCCCTGAAATTTTACGAACTTTCGAACTTTTTTTAAAGCAATCGCGCTGATTCAGCTGCGTAGGGACAAAATATAGGATATAACCCATATAAATATAAACAAAATTTATACTTTTTATTAAAATATTTTTAAAATATCTGATAATTTGATATGCATATGTCTTATGATCACTTTTCTCCACCAAATGTTTCTTTTTCAAATTTTTTTATTGGATCATCGAAACCGCTAAACCTGCCTCCCACAAGTTTAAGCAGTTATTTATTCTATAAATTTTTTTAATGAAATTGGATGCTTTTTTTTCTCAACAACTAAATTATCATTTTTGCCATTTTGGCCCGTATTTTCAAAGTAGTTGGACCTGCCTTGGCCAATAACTAATCAGCACGTCTCCTTAACAATAGAAATTGAATCATTTAAACCGGTTGATCCGTGTTCACTTGAATAATTAAAAAATATTAGATTTATATTAATGGGGAGACGTGCTGATTGGTTTTTGGCACGAGATTTGATATTTCTTCTCTGAAACAGCTACGCAGCGCGATTGCTTTGCAAAAAGTTCATAATATTCAAAAAATTTAAAAATACAAAAAATGTGTTTTAAAAGTCAATTTTTTTCATTATCAATTTTTTTCAATTTTAAAACTCTTTATAAAATGTAATTTTCAGTACGGGACGTTTCAATAATTTGTCTTAAGGCACAATGCCATGCGTTACTAGTTTACATTTGTTTTGAACGCTATAAGCTTGGAAGTGCAGAAATTCGTCATTTTAAGAAGGCTCGAGAACTGAAGAAAATTTTTTTCTTAAACTTTCAGCTTGTTTACGGATCTTTATATTAGCCAAATTGACAAATTTGATAATGACCTATTAACCAATTTGATAATTTACGTTCGGAGAGGGAGGCAAGGCAAAATAATAAATTTTAATAATCGGTTATTTCAACCCAAATTTTGCATTGCAATCGTATTATGTTTTGTTAATTATTTTTCTTGAAATAAAAAATGTTGTTAAAAAAAAGTTGATTATATTGTATAGAATTTTTTTTTCACTATCCAAATTTTGCCGCCCCCAAAAATTTGCCGCCCTGGGCAGTAGCCCCGATTGCCCCTACTGTAAATCCAGCACTGTATATATATATATATATATATATATATATATATATGTTACGGAAAATGTGCACATTCACCGCTGAATGTGCACATTCCCCAAAACGCTAGTTGAATGTGGAGTTCTCAAACAAACAAATTATATGAATGGTGTACGTGCGTACTTGGAGCGGTCTCATGAACATCTTGCGTATTTGGCGCATGTGCACTAAATAGTTAATCAGTTAATAGTTAAGTAGTTATAGTGGAAAGTGAATAATTAATATTAAATAGTAAATAGTTAATAGTTAATTGTTAGTTAAATAGTGAATAGTGATAACTGAATAGTTAAATAGTTAGTAGTTGAATAGTGAATAACAATAAATGAATAGTTATTAGTAAATAGTGAATTAAGATTAGTTGAGTTGTGGATAGTTAAATAGTAAATAGTGAAAAGTTAATAGTTAACAGGTAAATAGTTGAATAGTGAATAGTGATAACTGAATAATTAGTAGTATATAGGGAATAGTGATAACTGAATAGTTAATAGTAAATAGTGAATAGTGAATAGTTAATAGTTAATAGTATATATTTGAAGAGTAAAATAGTGAATAGTAAATAGTGATAACTGCATAGTTAATAGTATATAGTTAGTAGATAATAGCAAATAGTGAATAAATATTAGTAAATACTGAATTAAGAATAGTTAAATAGGTAATAGTTAATGGTTAAATAGTTAATAGTTATTAATAAAATAAATAATAGTTTACCGTTAATAGTTACTAGTGAACAATAAATAATGGATATTAATATGCATATGACTAAAATAAATGATAAAAATATAAATATAAATATAAATATAAATAAATGAATTATTATTTCACCCGCACGTGCGTACGAGCCTGAGTAGAACTCACATTCGCCAATTGAGCCGGTAAATGTGCACATTCACCGGTGAATGTGTACATTCACTGAAATATGCACATTTACCGTAACATATATATATATATATATATATTTATATATATATATATATACTAGCTGACCCGGAAAACGTTATTTTGCTAGTAAAGTATATTCTAAACAATTCCTAGAGAATCAAAAAAAATACTTTTAATGTATAAGGATTTGAATACTATATGTACAATGAAGTATAATAAAACCCCAATAAAACATATGAACCATATAGTTCATATCATCTACTTCTTTTATTTTTTATAAAGATCACACTGCATACATCTTTCGTATAGAACGTCGTCAGGTTAATTCATCGTCAGAGTTGTAATACCTGTTAACTTAAAGTATTTCTTGTAAAATTATTGTCTTGAACTTGTTTAAAAAAAAATCATTTACTATTTTCTTATTGTTTGCACCTTGCCAGTGTAAAGATTTACGTGGTTCCTTTTACTTTAAATACATGAATGCTATTCTAGAGATTATATAAAAAAAACTGTTGAGCGCAGAACTGAAAATACTACTAAAAATACTTTTTTTAGAAAATTGACAATATAGCAATGCATCTTGTGATAAAAAGTCGCTTTAATGCGATATGTGGTTTTTGAGTTAATTGGTGGCGGACCATTTTACCCGCAGGTTTAACCAACCTCTACCCTAGCTTCTTATATATAAAAATAGAGCTCTCGATAAAATGATCCGCTAAAACTCGAAAACGGCTAAACCGATTTGGCATTTTAAATATCTACTTTTTTGAAATGTTAATATGAAAATGCATTTTTTGGCGTTGTAGCACTCTTTTTTGCAAATTATATTTTTCACAAACACGGTGCTCTGAAAGATCTCATTTGTATATTTATATACTCATTGGCATTTATAAACCATTTTCTAGGTTATATATTATTTTTTATTTATGTTATTTCAATTCATAACCTAAATTCGATGTCGATCAAAGGAACATTTTGTCGAATAACATTTTCCCAGTTATAATTTCCCGTAATTTATCGAAGAATAGATAGTAATATATAAAGATCCGGGGTTAAAAAGGTCCACCACCGATGTGTCAGAAACCAGTAAAGTTAAGCATTGTTTAAAAACAATATTTGAAAGTAGAGGGAAAAAGATGTATAGCCAGCTATAACCTTGATTCTTATGACTTTGCTATTGGGAAATAAACGGTAATCTTTGAAAATCTATAATAAAACTATTTTTTTCCGTTGGTAGTTTTTTAGTATTAGTTAAAAATGTTTTTATTTTGTAAAATACGTTTAAAATTAAAAGATAATTTTTTGAATGACATCAAAAAAGCACATTTCAGATAATTGTTCGTTTGAAATGTGTTATTTGTTGTGGTATAATGGTTTGGTTTTTAAAATATAATTCAAATTTTCTCAAAGTCAAATTGGACCTTTGTGCTCCGTCCTGCTTTACATATATACTTTTTATTAAATTTCCTTTAATTCATCGAATGTAACTTGAAACTTTTCAAAAAGCAGGTCAAAGAAAAAATACTTAATTCATTTTCTATCTCTCCTCGCAAAAATTTGAAATTTTTTTATAAGCTCAGTAGTATTATTTACAATTATACACAAAATGCAGAATCCAGAAAGAATCTAAAGAACTTGAAACATAATCAATAAATCGAATAACTAAAAAATACTTGGATTGGATTATACCATGTTTTCTATAAGAACTGTATAAAAGTTTCAGTTTGATTGTATTGACAAATTATAGACAATTTATTGTAAATTAACTTCCCGTGGGGTAAGTTATTGTAACAGTCAAAAAATCGAAAATAAAAATGTTTGCATATTTTTACGTTTCAGAGGTTTCTGAATATTTTGACAAAACTTAGAAAAAAAAATGATGTATGTATGTGTGTGTGTGGGTATGTATGGACCCATTGCTACTACGTTTTCTGGCGCACGGACCGATTTAGAGAATTCAAAAAACATTCGATTCCTTTAATAGGTGACGTGCCGACTAGTTTTGGGGCAAACACAGGTCCAGGCGTTTCATAGGTATGGAGCAGAAAATAAAAATCAAGTTCTTGAGACCACGGAGCATCCGATTTGAATTATTCTAAAAGCATTTAATTCGTAATAATAGGGAGAAGTAATGATTAGATTTTAGCAAAGGCAGATACAGGCGTTTTCGAGATACGTAAATTCATTCATTCATTTTGAAAAAATGAAACATCTGATTGGACTGATTTAAAAAACTTTCTACTTCTTTTGACGATACGATATTGCATTTGCGGATAGAAAAATCCTTTTTTTCAAAATTTAAATTTCAATATTTAAAAAAATATTTTCGAATTTCGAAAATGATTTGGATTTCAATTTTAATTCTAGCTAAACAGTATTTTATCTCTGTGAAAAATGTACCCATAAAACTTATATTTTGCGTTGGTTGAATAATGTAGCCCACTTATGGGGTGAAAAAGACTAGATGATAAATTTTTGAAAGATAGGAAAAAACATTCATACAATAAAGATTTAGCTGAGAGTTTTACTGAACATAGCAAGATAGTTGTTTGTTTGATATGTGTCATTTGTTGTGATATAATTGGTTTGGTTGGTAATATAATTGCTCAAAGTCAAATTGTATTTTTGTGCCCCGCCCTTTCTCATTTATTATGAAATTGAAAGAAAAAAATAATCA